GTAATAATTAAAGAAAGCTAGCCTTTTAGGTATACTTAGTATACTATAGGAAATTAAAGTAAGGAAATAAGGGATTTTACTAGGGTTTTACTAACTAAGATTTTTAATACTAAAAATCTTACCTTAAATATACTATTTTTATTATAAAAAAAGCCTAAAAATAGAAAAAAATAAAAGGTACTTATATATTACTAATATTACTATATAGACTTATAGACTTATAAGTTAGGACCTTTATAGCCTTAAGTTATAGCGATTTTTCCTGACTTGTAAGTCGGGAGGTCAGGCTTGAATTAAACAAGCTGACTTGAGTTATTGCGACCGTTGCAGTGAACCAACAAACTCAGTGGAGATGCTCTGGACCCTCACTTCGCTTCTACGGCGCGATCAACCTAGAGCGCCCACTCAGCCTTGCCAGGGATGATCTTCTGAATCCTCCGCCAAGATCGATCCCATTCTCCTCATTGGATGCTTCCGCTGTTCCCATTAACTGTGCCTCGCAAAATTTCCCTTGGTCTGCAGGCCGGTGACTCTTTGCCCAGGCGGAAATGGCACGTTGTAGCGGCCATGTCCCAACTCATCACATTGTGAGCGTCAACTATAAGTAGCCTGTGCCCTCACGCATTGTTCAGATCATAATTCACAAAGCATCTCTCCCAGAACATCTCTTCTGTTCACTCTCAAATATCTTCACTCGCTTATAACAAATCAACCACCAAAATGCAGACCAAGTACATCTCCCTCCTCGCCGCTGCAGCTGCTACCACCGTCTCTGCCGCTGAAGTCAAGCGCGTTGATGTCGTTCACATCCTCGAGACTCTCCACGTCGGCAAGCATATCCCCAGCTTCACCCCCAACAAGCGCTCTGTCAATGCCATCTTTGAGCGTGACGACAAGGAGGAGTGCCAGAGCTCTGCCATCTCTATCCTCCGAAGCGCACCCACTGCCAACAGGGACCTTGAGTCCTGGGCTCTCACTGCTGAGACCACCGACCCTTGCACTCTCACTGCTCCCTCTTCGCTATCTTCCGAACTCTTGAGCTACATGACCGCCGTGGTTGAGTGGTCTAACGAGAAGGCCGATGACATGCAAGAGCTTGCTGACAAGTGCCTTGATGGGGAGGACGCCAACGGCGGCGAACTGGCTGCTTGCCCTACTCCTGGAACCGTCATATTTACTGCTGCTACCACCACAGAGACTGTCCAGCTCAAGACTGTTCTCGAGACCTTCGCTACTCCTGGTGCTTCTTCTACTGGCAGCGGCAGCGACAGCGCTGGTGGCTCTGATGACACTGAGAAGACCAACGCCGCTGCTCCTTGTGGCGCCAACTTGTTCGCTGCTGTTGCCGCTGTTGGTGTCGCTGGTTTCATGATTGCCGCTTAAGGGCTTTTATTCGGTTTGATGGATAGGATGGATGCTTAATGGATGAATATACGCGCTATGGAATTGTCATGTTTAGATGATGGATAGAACGGATTGACTTCTGTATGATATCCCGTGCAGAATGCTGCACTTTACTTTAAATTATATATTTAATGCTTATGGAATCTTTCGTTTTACTTCACTCTCTGACTTGCTTGATGTTTCTGTGACACGGATGTACCTTTCTTTAAAGCGGCATGTCGGTTCAACTCCTTCCTTTCCATACACTACCGACCTACCTACCTGCCTAATAATATTCAAGTCACTGATTCACTAACAGTTCGGCAAGTGCTTTCTCGGTTTTGTTAGCTTTCATTGGACGATCCAATCTCCCGGTGCTTCCTTCTGATTCAGCGACCTTCATCCGATGTCTTGGTGCCTGCCGTGACGCTTCAATTGTTTTTGTCCAAGACCTCCGCGTGGTCCTCCACCTTCTTACAACTCCAAGCACGACTCCATCCATGGCTTCAAGGTCTGCAACACAACACAGCGCCATGCCCCAAAACGAATGCGCTCTCCTCCGTCTCTCAACGGAGCTCATTTTCCAGATCCTAGAGTATGGCCCTCCATCAGCATATCTTGATGTGGCACTCACTTGCACCGCCCTACACCACCAGTGCCGGAAGCTCTTAGATCTTCACCGTGAAGCCGATGCCAAATACAGAATCATATCGGACCTGTGTCCGGAAACTGTGGTTAATCTCCTCAAAGATACAAAGATTGCCAGAATCGAGAGATGGCATGTTTGTGAGCTGGAGATCTGGGGAAGCCGAAAGGATTGGGAGGATTGGCGACCATGGGTTCCAAAATTTCCCAGAACTTGCGGCCTTTCCGATGATCCCCCTATAAGGCATGGGCTGGATTTGCAGGACATACAGCGATACATCCGCACTGCACTGGAATTATGGACCTTTCCGGAATTCGAATGGTATAGCGGATGGGAATTCGACTCTGAGGCAGTCCAACGTGATTTAGAGGCTGGCCAGGATGGGTTCCTCAAACTCCTTCTCATTGCAACATGTCCCCGTCTTCACAGTCTCCGATTCGCCAAAAGAGGGCTAGATCCTCACACAACTCTCGAGTGGATGGCATATGTCATCAACAAGGATAGCAATTTTACATGTAACTGGCCACAAGGCTTTAAGTCCTTGAAAAATATCGCAGTTGGTATCGAATCAGATCAGCGTCGGTTGAACGACGAAAGTGTCCATCGCGATTTCGGCGACTTTGTAGCGCTTCTATACCTCCCAAACCTCGAAAGCCTGTACTTCAACGATCTACATTACGATCACGATAAAGAGATCAACCTCCAATACTTCACTATCAGTGGTGGCTATGACTTTCCATGGGGAATTTCGAGCGTCAAGCATCTCTTTATAGATGGCGCTTCAGGCTTCTCTCCCCAGATTTACAAAGGCATAGCACATGTATCACGGAATTTGGAAACGCTAGTTTTGAGGGTCGGCACTGAATACGGGCAAGATCTTGACGACGTGGACACATTTGTAAGCCGTCTTGCGGTTGACAATACGACAAATCTACAGAAACTCATCATCTACAACCCCGACGGTATGCATGGATATCGATGCACCAACTATACACCCAAGGAACTTGACGGACTCGAGAACCTGAAACTATTCACAGTTGCAGCGTCTGATATCGAGCTAGATGCGCTTCACCAGCTGTACAAGCGTCCAAACGCAGAGAAACTTGCAGATCATGTCTCCGAGGCCTTTCCTTCAAGCACCGAAGCCATTTATATTTGGGGATCATCGGACGTGTACGTGGATGACTCGAGGCCTAGCGGCATACCATCAGATACCCTCGACTCAGCACTTGCATCACTTATTGAATCTGGCGTCTATGAGAGCCTGACGGTTATATACCTTGCGGACGTCGAGAAACGACATGCCCAGAATGATACAGATGTCGCTCTTGGAAGACCTATCGACGCAGGTCTAAAGGAACGGATTCTGCAGAAGTCTGTTGCTGCAGGACTCAAGACTGGTGTGCATGTGTGCACGCTGATGAATAGAGAGGATGGTGGTTATTGGAAGAAATTCCCTGCCAAGCCGGATAGGTTTGACCTAAAGACTGGCCGTTGCTATGGCGAAAGGCCTGCATCGTGGAGGCTAAATTTGCAGTCTGGGGAATGGGGGCCGGACTGTGCAGGTTGCGGAGAGTGTACGGGCTGCTTGGCCGTGTATCCTGCTGAGTTGTGGAAGAGTGGTCGTTCATGAGAAGATGGCATGACGACCGCTATCGATTATAGTAATGGTGGATGGCATGAGGCTTCAGTCTCGTAGTGCATTTAATACATGGATACCATGTCCATCAAGAGCCTCACGATCGAAGTGCCGGCGGAGGCTGTACTTCGATGTTGCAGTTGTGATCTCAGTGACGTCCAAGATGATATCAACGGCCAACGATCAATACCTTGCCTGGACTCGGATTCAGCTGAACAAGCATTAGTATCAGCCCATTACAAATCCGTCGCCGCAACTCACCATCCTAGCCTCCTTCACGATTCTCAGGGCCGCGCGTATGACGCGTCTCTCACCAGCCTCAATTGCCTAACAGATGTTCTCTTCTCCTCTCTGATGTCTTCTTATGGCCACGATAAACTACATCAATCACTCCCCCTCATACCCCATCGCCCTCTTCCACCAACCCCCCAAGCCCCTCTCGTCCATGACCCTCCCAAACTCCCTCACCGACTCGGTCTCATCAAACCCTGACTTGCTTCCCACGCCCTCAGCCCTCGTAGGTTTCGCAACACATTTGAAGTCTTTGTACCGCAGCGCCTGTACTGTAGATACCCACTCTGTTAAACCAGCCTCATCGCGCCCCTCTGCAAACATTATGCCCGGCGACCCGCCGCTTCGCACGTACAGCCAATCCACGTTTAGTTGCTGTGCTGCACGACGAACGCGGGAGAGCTTTTTGCGGGATGTTATATGGTGGGTGCGGATTAGACAGTTGAAGAATGAGGGTGTTCGTGACATGATGGTACGAGGTGGTGTTGGAGAGACGTTAGTGAGGAGGTTCATGATATCACGACCGGACTTTTATGGATCCGATGAAAAACACAACCACATTGCGACAAAACAGAGACAAAATGGTATAGAAAGTAGTCAACGTAAAATTCATCCTCGTATGTGCACATCTAAGGATATAAACCTAGCCTAAGCAAACCAAACGCCTTCCTGGTATGTATCGTATCCTCCGCTGCCGAGTCAAAACATCATGGCATGACCAACATCAAAGTTTGTTTACATACACGTACGTTATTCAACAACACCGAGTCCCTCAAATCCCCAGGGACTCCTCGTCATAAATGGGTATAATGTGAAAGCTAAACGAACTTTCTCGTTCCCTGCACGCCAAAAGTTCGAGCCAAGTTGCGCTGCGCCTCTCGGCTTAGACACCTCGGAACATGCGCACCACCAAGAACCACATCGCACCGATAAACTTGAACGCGCTCAGACCTGCCACACTCCAAAGGACGATAGACATGTAGATGTTGGATCGGCTCAGCTGTTCCGCTTCATGGTCCTGATCCTTGTTAGGGCTGATCCGGTCTAGACCTGCAGAGCTCAGAACAAGCGCTGCCAGACCAAAGTTTGACACCATCCAGATGAGAACGACGCCAGTACGAACACCTCTGTAGTAGTCCATCTGCTTCTCCTGAAGCTGGCTGGGAGTAGGGGTAGTCTTGACTTCAACATGCTTCTGCGCAAAGACAGCAAGCTCTCGCTGGTATTGTGCGTTCAAATCTCCTTCATCGGGCAGATCCGTTTTTCCAGTGCCATCCTTCGTGTTGACTGAAGGAAGCTTCTCAACCTTGTCGTCACCCTTGGTGCCCCAAGAAACATCGTGCGTGTTGCAGAAGGCGTAGACGTTCAGAACATTTGTAAAGGTGGGCGTGAGAAGCATGTATTGGACCAGAGATGTAGCCATGTGCCAGGGATCCAGCATGATCAGCGAAGCGAGCAGCCAGATACCAAACGTCGACATGACTGAGATGATGAGCATGTAAAAGACCTTGTTCTTGAAGATCTCTGAAAAATTAAAGCCGTCTGAGTCGTTAACGTCGGCAATGATAGATTTAACAGCGATGAAAATAGCAGCGAACAATAGATAGCTGGTCGGCTGTTAGTGTCAGGCAGCAAAAGCATGTCAGTGAACTTACATCATGATCATAGCCCAGAACCAACACATGGCGGTATAGAGCCTACCAGAACCTGCTGGTCGATTGCCCAGAGATAAGACGAAGCAAGTAATCAGGAATACACCGTAGAGCCAGGTAAATACGACACCCAGAATTTCTCCTGTCCGCCCAAGTAACGAATCGTCTCCCAAACTTGTTGTGAGAATCTTGAAAACGAGGAAGAAGTTACCAATAGCAAACCAAGCGAAGATCATGTTGATAGTGTTGAAGATGAATTCGATGAAGAAGGCAAACTTTCGCAAGAAAGTGTGATCGGATCGGAGGAAGTCGAGGAAGTGAACAATAGCGTAGATAGCAGCGAAGAAAGAACCGTTAAGCCAACGGCGGCGTTGGAGAACAAGCTCAGTAACTGTATCGGGAACATCGGTCTCGCCAGTAGCTGACTTGACGTACTGAAGGATCCAATGACAGTTGCGCTTAGTGACCAACTCGAAGCAAAGAATACGATCCTCGGCGAGATACATGTTGGACTCGAAAAGACCAGCATCACTTCCACCGTGGAGCGTCTCACCCAAGAAGTACTTCTCAAGAGGGCCCTTTCCGTTCTTATCGTTTTGAAGAGCGACATAGCGGTAGGCTGAGAAGGCACCGGGCAACACGGAGATGAAACCAAAAGCAGATTCCAATGGCTTATCGAGAATGTTGCTCATCTTGTACTCAAAGTTCTGAGCAGCGACGAGCGGGTTCAGAAGGTATTTTCCACCAGTACCCAACATGGCCTTGATCTCACCACAAGCACCACCGCACATGGGCTCGAGATCAAAGGCTTTCCAAAGATGGTAAATTGAGCTTCCACCGGGTCGAGTACCCGCATCGAGAAGCACACAAATGTTAGGGTCCAGGACTCTACCAAAGGCCGTAAAAAACCATCTGTGTGAATTAATCTTCTTGGCGTTCTTCTCCTTCAAACAGAACAGCATTTGAACTGGCTGACGTCGGTGGACGAGCTGGACAACGTCGTTCTTGATCTGAAGGTGAGTTTGCGTGGTGTATTCGTAAATATGGGCTGTGACATCCTTTCCGTTGACCTGCTGCTTGGCGATACCTTCTTGATACACACCCATACCGGCCAAAAGAGCCTTGGTTCTGGGGTTGATCTTGGAACGACCATCACTGACGACACAGACGACGATCTTCTTCCACGCGTCTTTACCCCATGTCTTACTGTTGGGACGGTTACACATGTACTCGATGTTCTTGAAAACACCGGTCATGGTTCGGGCAAACAAAACATCGTCCTCGTTATACATTGTCACAACAATGAACAGCTCGGTATGGCGGGGCTTTGTGAAGAGCCTCTGTCGCAGTGTGAAGTCGTGGTCGTAGAAGTCATTGGGATCGCAAGTCGCAGCGGAATATCGCATGTGTGTGAACTCATCACGCTCTCCGTGGGGGTTCTGTTGCAGCAGAACTGGAGGAACAGGACAGTCCAGAACCAGATTACCGCGGTACAAGAGGACTTGCTTGACGGTTTTCCAGCGCTTAATTCCACCGCCTTGTTGCGGTTGATCTTGGTATGGTTCGCTTGGCGCATCTGATGGTTGGTGCTGCAGCATAGGCCTGTGGTCATCGTAGGGTTGTTCGTACTCTTGGTCGTAGCCCTGATCGTAGGGTTGCTGCTGGGGACGAGGCTCGTAAGGTTGGTTGTAGTAGGCATCGTGATGCGCTTCAGGGTTTACGGCGTAATCACCAGGAGGTCCGTAGCCAGACAAATTGTCGACGGATTGCTGCGACAGCGTCAGTTCAATTCTTGATACACGTGCACGAAGACTTACAGCCGCATTGAGGTTCAGATGATCGCTTGGAGTAGGTAATCGGTGCGGGTCGGGGCCCGAGGGCATATGAAGGTGCTGCTGGGAAGGGCCATACTGTCCATATCGGCCATCGTCGAAGGGATTATCGTCGAGCTGGTAGCCTTGCTGGAGCGGCTGGCCTGGCGAAGGCGTCCGGTGAGGGAGTGGGTGTGGATGTTGCTGAGGCTGTGCCCCGTAGCGAGGATCCATTTCGTTGTTATAGTAATCGTCGTCTGAAGGCAATTGGAGTTAGACTTGTATGCTCAAGAGTATGCTTGTTGTTGATTGAGTTGGCAACTGGAGTGAAAGGCAATGTGAGTGGGCGCAGGTAAATAGACTTGCGAATGGGGCCTCGGTGATGCGCAAAGAGACGCAGCAGCAATAAAGCTTATCACCACAAGGAAAGTTTGTCGCAGGTGATGATGATAAGATTATAGCCACAATTGCAGGTTTGAACTTTGCCGAGTATCAAGAGCGGAAAGGCGAACAGATGCCGAGTCGCAATGTAATGTAATGCAATGCAATTCTAACCAGCCAGGGGTGTTTAAGACGGGAGGGAGGGGTATGTCTCGACTGTCTCGTCTCATATTGAGTTGAGGGAGAGAAAGGGGCAGATGACGATGATCAAAGAAACTTAGTGAGAAGGGATAAAGTGGTTGTACTTGCCTAGGCGATTATACGACATGATTGCGATTGTTTATGCGCACAAGAGGCGCTATACACACAAAGACTTTGAAGTATGTTTTGTGAGCGCGGTTACAGTTGCGCAAAAGATGGTTTATGGGTGATGCTGTTGCGCTGGTGGTTGCCCCGGGTTTCGGTTCCCACTCTAACTAGAGACCAAGGAAGCGTGGGCGGGCGACAAGTCCAGTCTTTGTGAGGCCTGAGTGACGTTATGCGACGATGCACAGACGCAGGAGAAGCGGTTACAAATGCGCCAACGAATGATGATACTGTGAAACGAATGCACAGTAGGTAGGAAGACAAAGAGGAGAGAACAAAATAAGAGATGGTTGCACAAGGAAGGGAAAAAAAGATTTTGGTCGGTTTCAAAGCTGACGAAAACCAATGTCAGTTCAGCGTCAACGTCTGACTGCAGCCGCAGAAGCAGAGGACAGGGATTGATCAGGCGCTAGCTGTTTAAACCTCCAACTGAACCTAGAGGCGAGGGAGCGAGAGAGAGAGAGCCAGCGAGTCTGCAGGTGGCTAACAGTTGCGTCTGGTCTGTGGCTCGGCTGCTCGATATGCGCGTCCCCTTCTGCAAATGAAGTGCAAAACCCTTGTCCTTGTCTTGGCAGATCCGTTTACTCCGTTTAAATCCAAGGACCGACCGAGGAGTTGGAGGGTCCAACTTGTTTGGCGTGCTCGAGAGCAACGGTCTCTGTGTTTCACACTCTGCCCGAGTGGGATAGTAAAGGATGATCCTCCACTGACCCAGTGACGGATAAGGATATGAATGAGCGAGTGACGTTGGCTTGGGGGGGCTCGGCTTGAACCGCCAGCGGGGATAGGACGTTGCAGGTGGCAGGGGGGTCTCTATCTGTCCAGTCCTGGAGGAAATGATGAAGTGCAAGAGAGAAATGAGAATCAAATATCGACGAGAGGCAGACCAAGTGGTTATACAAGAGGCTGACAGGCCCTGCAGCTGAAGCTCAACAGCTACTGTAGCAAGCTAACTACTGTACTGCACATTAGCTTGTCTGTACTGTCTCATCACACCTCAGCCCGATTACATTCTGTCAGCCCAGCCGCAGCTTAGATCCATCCTCCAATTCCTCTCGCAGTCTAGTCCCAAGCCGCGCCTCCGCCAAATATCCAGCCCAGAGAGATCCAGGCAGGCCTAACCTCGCGCCTCTCAAGCCTCCAGATAGAATGTGCCTTTCAGCTGCACCCACAAGGCTCTCTCGTGCGACACAATCATCGCATCTTGCCGTTGAGCTTAAGAGAGACTAGGAGACTAAACCAATCGCCAACGCTGACTAGCCCAAGCCTCTCTCGCCCGAGCGGCGTTAACCTGCTTACAGACAGTCGCATGCAGCCCTAGATGGAAGTATGTAATCACATCTGAGTCCCGTCCCTCCACTGTTACATACCGTTACTGTTCTGTGCTGTTGCTGATGCAGCCAGTACCTGATCAGCAGAAATCCAAAAAAATATCTCCAACGGTACATGAATCGCCACAGTTTGGATGCTCCTTGGCTCTTGGCTGGTTCATCAGTCAGGTTTAGAAATGCCGCGGTCTCACAGTAATTGACTGCGCCACGACCTGTCAATTCGATGAAAACGAACCCCTCCATGTGCCAAGACCTCGGATTCAGATCGTTACGAATTCATTACACGTATTTTCGGATTTGCCATCGTCTCCTCATATTCCTATTTGGCTTTTCTCTCCGAACTGTTTGACTGTGTGCTCCATTCCGTTCAACCTTGGCAGATACAGCACATGACCCTCTGCCTGTAATACTTGCAGTGTAGCTGAAAAATAACCCGCTAGAGGTGGAGATGGCCTACCTAACTCAAAAGAGCTTAATCCAACGGGACAAACCGTTTGTCTTCTCCCAGGACCACGACCGCCTTGACATCCCTCCAATATAAGGGAGACGGTACAGGAACGGGAGAAAGTTAGATAAATGATATTAGAGAGCTTGAGGACTCAATCATAACAAACAAGATTTTCATCTTCAACAAACTCGGCACTTTCGTCGGCCATCAGCCCTAAAATTGTCTGCTCCAGGTACAGCGTCTGTTGGATGCACAAGGAGCTGAATACATTCGAATAAACCGTGGAATTGAGTCCTGCCCTTTTGGGTCTCATCAGTGCATATGGACTGAGGTGTACCAGCATTCTCATTGCTGCACCTGTCTTTTGGTGGCTAGCCGCCTTAACTGACGAGAGCTTTGCTTAGAGCTTCCGCCACCTCCTGCGCAGAACTATACTCAAAATGCCATAACTTCTGGATAATTTCTTTGACAAGGTTACTGTTACCAACATAAGGATACTCTCCATCCATAAGTCTCTGCTGGAGTTCTTCTATCTCTATTGACTCATAAGGGGACAGACAGCCCACTCTGTGATCTCACAAATTGCGGTATTAAGCACAAACAGCTCCTTTTCGAGTATACTTCGAGTTGGCAAGTCTACTTCTGGTCCTGGCACCCAACAACGAGGCTCGCATGTAAAGAGAAGCTCAGGGAACTTGTCCTTGTGAAAGGAGCCAGCAAAATCGCAGAGCTTCATGTGAAGATGATCGAAGACTAGGACATTTCGAGGTGAGACGTCGCCCCAAATGAGTCCTCGATCATGGACATGCTGCAAAGCCTCCGTGAAGTCGATGACTACCTGAAAGCGACGAGCCATTGTCGGAGGTTCGTTCTCTCCAATGTATTCCCGCAAGTTACCATGCGGCGCCCGCTCAAGACGCAAAGCCCAAGCTTCTTCTCCATCAGACATCAACTCGATACCGATACACTTAAGGATGTAAGCCGAGAGCTTCATATATAGCAGCTTCATGCTTAAATAAGTAGCTCGTATCTTCAGCAAATGCGGCGTGGTCGTACATTTCACCGTCTAACCAAAACCCAGCTGCCTTCAAAGCAGGCTTGGAATTGCCTTTCTCTGTGTAGACGATGCTGAGGCCTGTTCGGCCGAGGGGCTCGAGTCTGGCCCGGATAGCATGGGCAGCTTCCCGATCAGAGAGGCGCATTCTGAAATTACGCAGATCAATTCAAAGAGGTTCAGTGAGGCGAGAAGAGACATATTAAAGCGTGTATCTCAGACAGGCCACAATTGCACGGGCAGGAAACGTTCTAACGTGAGATAGTGCGGGGAGGTTTAAGCTTAATTCTTAACTCAGTGTATGTATGTCAATAGTGAAAGAGATGTAGGCACGAGTATAACAACTCTGATCTGAATTATGGTCACTTAAAACAGACACTTATTACTACGATAAATAGACTATACAGCAATCGAATGGGTTTTTGTCAAAATATTGTAATATTTAGCTATCCTCGCCAGGCAGCCTAGCCAAGCACGAGCAACAGCGTATTATTAGATGCCGAAGCGCCTTCCTCTCAACATCGAGGCGACTAATTCCCGTCCAATATACGAATGTCCCATAAACTAATGCAAGCCGCAGAAAACACTTAAATTAGCCAGGGTGTCTTGGTCACGAGAGGCCTCAGAGACCTGATCGTCAACCAATACAATGCGGTTTCGGTCCGTCCCTTGTTGACTGCGGCTGAACTTCATGCATACCTGATCCTTGTGCCAAGATAACCTCTTCCGCACCATATATGAACGTTATCACCGTATTAGCCAATGATTGCTGAGCAGGTGTGTAGGTTGTTTGTCCAATTCCGCTCTCTCGAGGCTTCTCTTCGAGAGTCGGCATCTTCAACACTAGCATTTTAACGATTGATGATAGAGAAGGTTTCACTGGAAGGCCTACGTACTATGTATTTTCTCAGTTATCCCTTGCATCCTGTCTGAGTTCCCACTGTCCGCTTTAAATGTCACTCAAGCATCCTCCCACTCATCGAGGCACCTTGCAGACATGGCGGTTTCATCTTCCATCGTGACTTCACATATACCCGCCAACTCTATTCAGCTCGTGCAGTCTCTGGCCCTATCAGAGCTTTATCTTTTTCAGAAGAACCAATAGAAACATTTCGCCCCTGACATAAACATTAACGGACATGCATTGGCGTGTATGGCTTCGATGCAGATCTCCTCAAATTAGCCAGGCCAGTTCCTGGGGGCAAGTAGGGACGAGAATAGATGACATACGGTGTAAAGATATGCCGCCATGGGGGTTCTAGTCATGGCTGTGGTGGTCTCTTATAGAGTTGATGCCCTGCTGTCAGTTGTGCGAGCCTTTTCGTTCTGTTAGCCAGTTCGGATCCCATTGTTTCCATTTACACGTTCTCCCACCGTCTCCAGTTGGAGCAACACCAGCAATTATGTCTCGACTTCTCTCAGTCCTTCTCCTCTCTCTCCCCCTTGCCCTCTCAGCAGACTTTGAAAGTGTGACCATCAGTGCCAACCTCGACAACGTTGGTCACACATGTATCAGCAAGTGTCTCTATTACACTGTTCTGTCCGATATGGGCAGGGCTATGGGTTGTGATGACCCCTATGACAACAACTGCTACTGCGCTACCGCCGCTGCATCTGCCAACAAGGCTGATGGCTTCATGTCCAAGTGTGCCACCTCATTGTGCTCGGCTGGCGACCGCTCTCGGGACTTGACTTCCATGCAGTCCTACTACGCTTCGTACTGTATGGGTGCAGGCTTCACACAGCCTGGTGCTACTGAGTGGTACAACCCTGCTGAAGCTACAGAGGAGCCGACAAATGAGCCTACTGCAGAGAGCACTGGTGGTAGTGATGCGAGACCCAGTCGGACTGCCAACTCAGATGGTGACGCGGCTTCAACGCACTTGACCATTGTCACACAAACGGCAGAGGATGGTGCTTCCAAGACGCAGGGTAAGTTCCTGCTGCTCATAGTGATGGTGCCTTTGCTGTTGCTTCAGGTACTGTTCCTGTGCGTGCCCCATCAAGAGTTTCTGCTAACATTCTGGCCACTAGTAATCGTCGAAGCAACATCCACTTACTGGGTCAACTCGGACGGATCCCCAGCATCATCCAAGAACGAGGATGGTGGCACCTCTGTTGTCAAGATTGGCGTTGGCGTCGCTGTACCAGTGGTGGTTATTGCTGCTGGCTTGTTTGCTTGGTGGTTCATCAGACGAAGAAGACAACAAAAGACACAATACCCCTGCACTACTCAGCCCCTCAGCGAAGTTGCAACTGGCGGCGGTCCTGCTGTCGTGGCCTCTGTTTCCCCTTCAACACCTGAGAGGAGGGACACTCTACCAAGAAAGCCCGTCGGAGCTTCAACAATTTCTTCTGTTTCTTCCTTGTCCAAGACCAACGAGTTATCAGGTATTGGCGTCCAACGTGAACTTTCTGGGCGTGAAGTTCATCCCTTTCCCAACATGACACCCAGTCCCCCGATCCAAGTCGCAGGACAACATGAGATGTCGGGCGAAGGATGGAGGCCAAACTTGGAGATGGATGGTCGTGATGCTCGTGTGGAGATGTCTGGTGAAGCTAGGCCTCCTGAGCTCCCAGGCTATACCAATTCAGCGAATATGTATACACCTCATGAGAGTGTTCATCGATGGGAACTGCCTGATAACTCACGTTAGAGATAGGCGCTAGGTTTTGACGGATGTTATATGTTACTTTGTGTTCTCTTCTTGGTAGTTGTCATTTCATTCAACTCAATGTTCCCTTTCGGCGGTGGAGTTGGGCGAGGGAAGGGTGCAATCAGGGTCTTGTCAGTTAAGCTAGTTGTCATTGAGAGGTGTAGAGGAATAGACTAATAAGTATTGTACTCCTGTTACGTTGCCGCGAGTCTACTCAAGAGTCAATATAGTGGTTTTCCTTGGGTAGCGGGCGCTGGATTCATTCCCTAGCTCATTACTTCATGGTAGGTCGTTCAGTATACTAATTACACTTGAGCATCCACCTCCATTGGCCTCCCACGAGGGGAACTGCTCAAATCGAGTGTAAACCTAACTCAGGCGATTAAGCTAACACTTGCTTCTAACACCAAAAAGAAGATCGTAGATTTGCCTTCGGACATAGCCAACCCCCCTCCTCTAGGAGCAAGAAAGCTTGGGACCTGGGCAACTTCATCATATTAACATTCTCAGGCTTGCAACAGTCATCAACAAGAGCTCTGATGCAAAAAGTAACATTGAGATGTTATTCACTGACAAAAGTGCAAAAGAAAGGGTCTGGCCGGGGATTGAACCCGGGACCTCTCGCAAGCTATGCTGTAGGGTTTTCCCTAAGCGAGAATCATACCACTAGACCACCAGACCAGTGTTGGAACAGAACATTTGACGCTGCTGTTGATGGACGGCAGGCTCAGTAATGTGGTCTAAGACCTGATGCTCTCTAGAAGTGAGTGTCCTCTAGTCGAATAATCATGTCTGAGCTGTAAGACAGGGTAGTCAGCAATTGGAAGCAGCAGAAGTCATTCAGACGTTACCATGGGATGTCCAGCCATCCGTACCTTACTCAGTAGTCATTAGATAATAATCATCAGGTCATTCTTCAGCCCATCTGTGCAAGTCCGCTCCTCCGCAAGAACCACACTTGCAAGTGTTGAGAGCGGAATTAATAATCACATCCACTTCCTACCAACACCGCACAAAGTGGGTGTCGTGCAAGCCACAGCCGCAAAGTAGTGCCAAGACGATGATGAGAAACTCCAATTACAACCTGCTGTCCTCTGGTTGGTCAATTGGCTGTCACAGCTGCTGAAAATGGACAATCGGGGTAATCAATATCCTCAATCGCCGACTCTTACGGTGGCCGCGTGCCCCGAGATCACTTATTCACAAAATTGTCAGGACAATGGCATCGTGGACTGCGGAGTTGGTTTTGATGTTGAGGATCTCGTCCAGATATATAAGAAGTCGTCGTATCTGTGAAAACGAAAAATGTCTTTTCATCAGCATCCAAATCATCAACACTCAATCATAAGACGCGATATCTTGAACATATCCTTCTTCCTACTATTAGATCAAAATGATGTCTTCTCCCAAGCTCATTACTGTTTTTGGTGCCACTGGCTCTCAGGGAGGCAGTGTGGTGCAGTCCTTGCTTCAGAACATGTCCCAATCCTTCAGAATCCGGGGAATTACTCGCAATCCTGAATCCGAAAAAGCCAAGGCTCTCGCTGAGCATGGCGTTGAGGTTGTCAAGGCTGATGGTTTGGTCAAGGAAGAGGTGCTTGAAGCTTTCAGGGGCAGCTGGGGAGTCTTTGCCAACACAAACTCGGATGATCCTGTAAGTCACCGAAATCAGTATTTTGATTCTCCTCTAATACAGTTGCAGTCAATGAACCAAGAAGGTGGACCTACTGAACTTGATATCGGTAAGAGCCTCGTGGATGCGGCCGCTGAGGCAGGCGTCCGTCACTTTGTGTACAGCGGTATGGCCTCTGCCTCGGAAATCACTGGAGGGGCGGTTCCCAACAAAGCTTTCGACAGTATGTTATCTTCTCTTCTCTTCCACTTCATTTCTCCATACTGATTCAATGTAGTGAAGCATGCTGTTGGGGAATATGCAAAGGGCGGGGGGTTCGAGACTGTCAACGTTGTCAGCCCAGGCTGGTACATGGAGAACCATCTCGTGAAAGATTTTGCCCCAGCTCTGGGCGGTTTCCCTTTCATCACTGATGAGGAGGGTTACCTCACCCTACGTGTTCCGCGCTGGGGCGGCAATGAAGAGATTCCCTTCATTTCGATCGGAGATGACTATGGCGATCTTGTTCATGGCATCTTCCTCGATCCTAAGAAGTACAACGGGCGTCTTGTCCAAGGTATCAGCGCCAGCGAGACAACTGAGAAGCTTGTCTCCGAGTTTGAAAAAGGTGAGCGCCATGTGGTTCCCGCTGCTGAGTTCTCTTAACTAATGGCTTGTCAGTGACAGGAAACAAGGCTCGGTTCGTGCCCATTAAGGACTGGAAGACCATGGAGACTTACGGCGATCAATCCTTTGAGACTGTCAAGTACATGTTTGGTTTCTGTCAGCACTCTGGCGGCTTGTACTACGGAGTACCTAATGACTTGAGCCCTGCTACTGAGCTGAAGGGGAAGGCGGCTGAGGCCAAGGGACAGTCGGGCGATGCTAAGTTGATGACTCTTGAGGAATTCTGGGAGAAGTACTTCGCTTCTTGATCGTCGGCAACTATGCATTTGGGTGCAATGGAATGCGGTTTGATTCAGGAGAGCTCAGTCCCTGATCTGTAATAGCCCGTTGTCAGCCTTTGACCATGTGTAGTTTGCGCTGTTGCTTAAAGTTAATGCTCAACATTTGTCGATATATTATATCTAGTTGACCTTTCACACCGGTGCGGGCATAACGCCATCCTTTGATGAATCCCTGCTTGGTAGATGAAATTAGGGAAGCGAGCTGCAGCTTCCCGTTAGGACGATCTGTAAGGGTCGGTGCCCCCGTTGGGACGTTGTCATTGGAGGGGTGAGAGGAGAACAAAGATAGATCATGCATATACCGGGCCAGGAATTTGGGTCTGAGTTGTGGGAATGGATAAGAGAAGCAGCTTGGCCAAGCCACATCACTTGAGCATCACCAGGGTACACACATATGGCAGCCGGGCAGTGGGCAAGCAAGCACCTGCACCTCAGGTGTAGTAGATGGCCCCCCCTGGAACAGAGACTCACTCCCCTCTACACTTCTTTCAGTATTAACGACCCCTGAGCTTCTGAAAGCTTAGGCCATTTTACTCTGTGGCTTCTCTAGGCTCTTCAGCTTTTTCTGCTGCTGCAGAGAGACTCATGGCCTAGCCACACTTCTGTGCCTACCGTAGCTATAAATTGCATCCGCACCCACTTCTCGATTTTCCTCCTTCCTTCCTCCAACACTTTTCCACAAAACCAAGAAATAGCTCTTTGCCTGTCAAAGAGTGTTTGAAATTGGTCTATCTCTTCTTATTCCCTTCTGTCACACCTTCTTTGCATCGTGTCTTCTAATTAAACGAAAAGTTCTTCGGGTATCTGCATCTTGCCTCTTCCTCTTCGTGGTTGCCCCGGCATCCCACAACAGCGGAGGGGAGGAGCGAGACTGCATCTTTCCTTCTCTCACCTTCCCTTCCCTTTCCTTGGAGCTTCACAATAAATCCTCCTTTCTGTCTTGACTTGAATAGAGTCTTTGACCTTCACCTTTTCCTCCACTACACAACCCACCAACACCCGTTACTTCTTTCGCGCGCCCACCACAGTCTATCATTGCATCAAGCGCTACAGGGAAATAAATATACGCTCTTCGTCACCTTTCTAACATATATCCCAACACGTTCTGCTCGCGTTCATCAAAATGAGTAACGCAATTGACCTAGAAGCCGTCAAGAAGGCTACAATGGTAAGACTTCCTCTTCACTCTCATTGTTCCACTCACATCACGGGTGCCCTCTTTCCTTTCTCTGCCGATGCACTATTTATCGTCTTCTCAATACCATGTGGCGACGCTACAACTGACTAATTCTGGTAGGCCGACCTCTCTCGCCTTCGTCAAGAAGAACTTCCTCTGAGCCACGAAGTGAGATCAGGTCGAGCAACTTATGACCCAACCCGCAACAATGGAACTGGCCACTATTCTGTTGCTACAAAGATTAATCTCGAGAAAGTATGGGGCGCCAAGATCAACGATGGAGAGTCCCAAAGTATGGAAGGCCTTGAGCTCGAAGATGCACGGCCTTGGGCAAAGGGCCAGAGAAGAGAGAAACTTCCAAACATCATCGTTCACAAGTAAGTCTTTCTGCCTACAGTATTGAGATCTTCTAACACCTTCGATAGAGAAGTTCCGGCTATCCCTGCTTCCCGTAGAGCGCCCTCTTCACGTCAGCTTCGGGGAACTCCCGTTCAGTTCAAACCCACGACACCCGGTTAGAAGCCCTGTGTGTTGAGAATTATAGAACAATATAATGTTAATATGGCCACAGCGAGATGGGGCCCAGGACCTACGGAGACAGCTCCTCAAACCAATCGTCAGGAGCCTGCGCCTACTCCTGTTCATAAGAGCAACTCTACTGCTGCGAATACTGTTTCTGTCAACGGCACCTCTTGTGCGCCTCTAGTCACAGGAAAGAAGGATGAGGACGACCAGGATCTTGTCACATCGGAGCACTTCTTGTACAAGAGCCAGTGCCAGCTTATTCCAGGGAAGGCTGAGGCCCTTAGCATCGCCACACACATTGCTATCAAGATCATTGCAGAGAGCGATGGCGTTCTAGAGATTCGAAACGATTCTAAGGGCCTTCGAATCCACGATGCTCTAGAACTCGAGCAGCCAATCCAAGACGGCCTCTATTGCACCATCAAAGTGAAGACTAGGCCCTTCTCTGAGAAGCTTCGCTTTGCTACAGTTAGCGATGCACAAGATTTCAAGATCAATCTGATCAAGCTTCAGAATGCTCTGCTAGTTCAGCAGAATCAAGACATCGATAAGTCTCAGATTGAGGAAAGCAAGGCGGAGGACGACGGCGACCTCTTGATGGCCGCCAGCCCCATTGCGAGCACGGCGTCCGATACTTCAATCCTCGTCTCCAACAGTTCATCTCAACAGGCGCCCATCACGGATCAAGAGCCCCTTATCATGGCGGATGACAATTGGGGATCGCCCGCTAACAACAACATTCCCAGCCTGGGGCATGAAACCGTACAGTTGAGCCAGTTGTTAAACCAGGTTCTGGAGCAGTTCGCTGCCCTGGGGAACCACTCCGATGAGAGTATGAATGGGATCGAGTTTGCAATCCTTGACCAGGCTCTCCGCCACGGTTCCCTGCCTGACCGTGGCGAGCAAGTGCGAGAGGGTCTCCGAGACATCATTCGTACCTTGCTCGACATGCTTTGCAAGCCGGTCTCCCATGAGTTTGCTTCGGACCTCGGAGGTACCAAGGCAATCGAAGCCCCTGTCAATGGCAATGCTACGGATCTTGGCGATGCGACCGCCGAACAGGAGGAGAATCCGAAGCAGGTGGAGGATTCAACCAACCGCCCTGTGCTCGGTATGCCTAAGGGCTTGGGTGCTTCACGTTTTGCCAAAAAGCCGGCGACATACCAAGGCAAATTCACTGGCCCGATCAAGTACTGAGATTGATGCCGCCATGTACGAGAACAGAAAGCTTAGGGAAGGCTGATGACTTAATTTGGTGTAGAGGATCTCTCTTTTGGGCCTGGTAGTTGGGGCATTGGCTGCAATGAAGGTTCTTCAAAAGTGCTTTCAAGGGTAATTTTGGAGATCGGCCTATCAGCAGGCAATGGAAGCGACTAAGGCATGTTTGTAGAAATTGAGATAGTCCCAGCGTACCCAGCGTAATAAAGCAAACTGTCTGGATCCTCTCGGTTGCTGGTTGTGTGAATATGTTTAGAATTGTTCGTGTTTTTCATGGCATCTATCTCTATATGCTTCCAGCAACTGTCTGGAGTCGCGGTCGAGTCCTTGGCCATCCTTCAAGGCCTCAGCTGCTAGTTGCTCAGCTTCTCTATAACGGCGAAAGAAGTAGTGTTCTTCAACGGCATGGATAACCTCTTGAATGTCCATCTTGGGGGCGTCAAGGCCAAGTGGGAGCTTAACTTTCTGGTAAATCTTGCCCAAGTCAGTACTGGACATCCATATTTATGCCAAGGGTCACTTACATCGCCGTTCTCAACCTTTGCCTTGTATTCCTTCTGGACTACTCGCCAAGCTTCCTCTGACTGTCCTGTGCGGCGGGACTTTGTCGCCTCTGCTTCATCGGCTTCATCTGAAGATACATCTGCAAAGGCGAAGTTGGCGAGGGGATCCTCTTCATCCATTTTGCGGTTTCGTTTTGACTGTGAATGACGATGTAGGGAGGAGAGTAAAGACTGAGTTTTTGGGTCGATGATAGGACAGGACCCACTTGGATATGATGTGTAATAATGTTTGGATGGAAAGGGCCATGACTGTTGTTGGCTAGGTAAGTCTCTGTATAGGCAGGTAGTTTCAAGTTTAAGTTCTTTTTTGATAATAAAGTCACTATGGAGCATTAGGCCTCATGCTGTGTATCTGGGTATAATTCCTTGTCTTGTGAATAAGATGGATATAGACCCTGTCCCCGAGGAGCAAGAAAAGACGATGTTAAAATAAACGTATTGAAGAGGTCTCTAAATCTAGGCTAACTTGCCTAAATCCTTTGATGATTTATATAATTCAATGCTCAAGATCTTATTGTCTCCCTTGGGGTCACATGGATGGCGCCCCTTGGTCAGAGTGATGGTGAATTGATAGCTATGAGATAGGTAAGTTGCACTTCATAGTGAAGTACTGCTGCTATCAATCCTTGTATTTACGGGGATGGATAGGTAGCTGTGATGTAACAACGTGGGGCAACGTCTCGACGCGGGGCATATTCCAACGACATTCAAGCTCCTGGTCACTTCTTCAACTCATTTCATTCTCATTTTACAACATAATTCGCAAATATGGAGACCCAGGTTGAAAGGCTCGTCGAGAAAGCGTGGAAGAAGTATGAGGAGACGCCAAAGGATAAGAGATTATGTGAGTACCCGCCAGCGCTCATCTTCTTTCATTAGAGCTCTCATGAGCTGAGTTGTCACCCTTCTCTATATCGATATACTTCTCTCCCGAACGAATGGATTATCTTGCTAACATTCTTAGTGATTGGCGTTGCTGGTATCCCAGGCTCAGGCAAAACAACCTTCTCACAAATCATTACCGATCGAATCAATGCCCGCGCCTCCTCTTCAGATCCCTCCTCTCCTCCTCCAGCAACATTCGTTCCCATGGACGGCTTTCATCTCACCCGTGCCGCCCTCTCAGCCATGCCAGACCCCGATACAGCCCACTTCCGCCGCGGCGCAGCCTTTACCTTCGATGCGCCCAAGTTCCTCACCCTTGTCCAAGCACTCTCCAAGAGACCAATTCCATCAGAGCCAATTCTTGCGCCATCCTTTGATCATGCGCTGAAGGATCCCCGAGACGACGATATCGTCGTCAAGCCGGAGCATCGTGTCGTTATACTTGAGGGAAACTACCTTGCGCTAGATCAAGATATCTGGCGAGATGCGGCGAAGCTTCTGGATGAGGTGTGGTTCGTTGAGGTAGACTTTGAGGTTGCGAGGAGGCGGCTACGAGAGAGGCATGTAAGAGCAGGCATTGTGAAGGATCTTGAAGAGGGAGATAGAAGGGCCATGGAGAATGATCTAGTTAATGGTAAAGAAATCATTGACTTTAGACTTAGAGTAGATGAGATAATCCAAAGTCGAGAAGATGGAAGCTGGGTCCATGAATAGAAGATCTGAATAGAGGAATAATAAATACTTTGTGCATTCTATCGACCAATGTCAAAGGATATCTCTTCTAAGTCTCTCTAGCCATATCATCGTAGTCTTTCCAAAACGCAAGCTATGCCAATGTAACCAGAACCTACTCCAACGCTGCAATAAGAACCAGCAATGCTTAAATTCGCTCAAATCCAGTAGCCCACTCAGTTGGTTGTCATATTATGTTTCGTTCGATGTCCTAGATCGTTCCGCGCTCAGCTTGCGAATCTCTTGCGCCATGCTACGCCCCTTGCCCTTGCGCGCTGAAGTTATCGAACCACGGCTCACATCCCGTCCAGCGGTAGCAGTCTGGTCTAGACCCAGCACTTCAATGAGCTCAGGAATCTCAGCGTGGTCGCGTGTCGTCTTCATGCGATGACACCATGTGACTCTCTTCTCCTCGTTCCCATCGCGGTCTGGGCCTCGTTCTTCTGCTTCTTCGAATGCGCTGATAGGCTTCGCCATTTCGTCTCGGGGTGTTGAGACGGGTGTGAGGATGTCTCGTGGTTCAAAGAGGAACTCGCCACCGACTTGGCGCTGGTCACCCATCTTGAGAACGTTGCCGGTTGGAATCTGCTTCACTCCTTGAACTATGCTGCCTACAATGCTGTGCATCATACTTCGGCGCATGTAGGCTGGCTTCGTACCTAGTTGCAGCGTCTTTGACATGCCAAGGGCGTCGAAAAGGGACCTCGTCGGATCGGTATACACAGGAAAGCGACATCCTGTCTCATTGACATACATATCAATGAGCGCAGGATCGCCACATCCAATGACCGCAATGAATGTGCTCACTGGTAGGCGCAAGAGAGCTTCAGGAGTGATAGCCTCGGATAAAGAGCGCAGAAACTCTTGGCAGTTCTGGAGGGACAATATCAGTAACTTGAAACGGCCACGAGACGAAGGGGTCACGACATACGCCACAGAAGAAATGTCTAACAAAGATGATGAGCACGCGTCGTGCAACGTTGCTACCAGTGTAAAGGGTCTTGAAGGGGTGTGATTTTCCGTGTCTGTCGAGAACGATGTAGTTTTCGATCTTCTTGAGGGTTTCGACGGACGGTAGGTCGTTATTGGTCGCAAGTTCGCCTTCGAAGTCTTCGGGCTGTGTCTTGTCGACCTTGATCGGTGTAGGAGGAGATTTGCTTCTTGTAGAGCCAGCCTTCTTAGGTGCAGAGCAAGTATCGCATTTTGGAGCTTCAGAGGTCTTTCCGTCAGGGTCCTGCTCTGGTCGTGGAGGAAGAGTCGGGGCTCGTTCGACGGAAGGACTCTCAGGAGGGATGCCTCCCACGGGCTTGCGCTCAATGGGAGATTTCGTAGTGGTTGAGGCGTTGGCCTCTGTATGATTGTCCGTCATGTTGGCCCAGGAGATCCCCAAGAACTAAAAGATATCGCGAGTCGTGAAAGACCAAGGTTGCAGTAGAAGTTGAGCTTAATTAAGTGAGAGAACCCAATCGTAGAGGGGCATACAAACGGCCCGTAAGTGGCGCCGCTAACAGAACGGTCTCCAGCTTATAAGGGACCGGCCGCAGTGGAGAAGGAGTTTCGAGGCGTCGTAAGCGTAAACGGAATGGCAGTGGCTCAGATTCGTGAAGCGGGAGGTTTTATGAAGTTATCACGAGATTCCTGGTTCTGGGAAAAGGGGGGAGACGTGGCGTTTTAGGTCGGGTCGGGTTTCTTGTTCATGAAGCGGCAAACTGACTTATGACCTGGTGGCTACCCTTGTTTGGCTGACGATGCCCTGAATTTCAGCGGCAGGGGAAGTTTTAGCTTGGTTTTTTAGCTGCTTGTGAGGTCATACATTGGACTGCAAGGGGATTGGATACCCTAGAGATATCGTGAAACCCTCATTTTGTAATGGCTGAAGGTATGAAAAATATCTCCATTCTGGGTAATTATATTGAGAAATAACTTGTTAGTGGTCCTCAAGGTGATTTAGTACAGATTGGGTACTGCAGGGTCGCGGCGTGAGAAAGGATCAGCGTCTTGTTACAGAAACAGAAGTGCATCTGAATTCACTGAAACACACTTGACAGCCATGGCAAACGTCACAGCATAAGGTACCTGGGGCAGGCAGTACGGCATCTACAACGCCATCATAGTGCTGTGAAACCAAGCCATGCAGTGACATAGATCATCAACCGTCATTTATATCCAATAGGTCGTCACAAGGTTTGCTAAGAGTTTGATGTTTGGTCAAGGTATGGGTTGTTAGTAATTGCCGACTACGACAGCTTGAGCGCTATTTATAAATAAAATCAACAGCAGCAATTGTGATCCAATCCATATTCGAGGCTTCAGTCGTTCTCTGACAATTAACCGCCTGGCGTATCATCGGTATGGATGTCCAATCCACTTCCGTCATGTCAAAAATCTGTCAGCGGGGCCTAGACTAGACAGAAATGCCTGTCTCCATCGAGAGCAAAGACTGTCCAAATATTTCTGTCGATTGAAGTCAAATTCTTGGTGGGGTGTGACATCTTCCCACTCATCCAACCCTCCCACCAAATTCTCTCGTTTTTGCAGCTCTCACTCATGCGCAGTTAGCCAAGATGGCAGCTCAAGTCCCCACTGAAGCTCTCAAGGAGCTCAACGGTAAGTTCCTACGTATACGGTCTACTCAGCGGTGAACTATCATGTGAAAACGTCAGGTCTGGACCAGAAAATACTGACAACGGCTGCCCCGCAGTGGCCGATGGCTCTCAGAAGCCCGGCGCAAACACACAATCAAAGACCGACGCTGCCGGAGACGACCACGGCGAAGATGATTCCGAAGACGAAGCCAACGGCACTGCTCCCGCCGAGGGAGCCGCCAAAAAGAAGAAGAAGAGAAAGCCCAAGAAGAAGAAGAAGAAGAACCCTACCAGCCAGAGCGACCCTCCTCGAGTCCAGGTCAGCCAGTTGTTCCCTAACAAGTCCTACCCTCATGGAGAGGAGGTTGAATACAAAGACGAGAACAACTACCGAACTACCGACGAGGAGAAGCGCCATCTCGATAACCTGAACAGCGACTTCTTGGCCGACTACCGTGAGGCAGCCGAGATTCATCGCCAGGTTCGACAGTGGACTCAGAAGAATGTCAAGCCTGGACAGACCTTGACCCAGATCGCCGAGGGCATTGAGGATGGTGTTCGTGCTCTTACCGGACACGCTGGACTCGAAGAGGGCGACAGCATCAAGGCTGGAATGGGCTTCCCTTGTGGTCTGAGTCTTAACCACTGCGCCGCGCATTACACTCCCAATGCCGGTAACAAGATGGTTCTCCAGCAGGAGGATGTCATGAAGGTCGATTTCGGTGTCCACGTCAACGGCCGTATTGTTGACTCTGCTTTTACTATGTCTTTCGACAACAAGTACGACAATCTTCTCAAGGCCGTTCAGGAGGCTACTAACGCCGGTATTCGCGAGGCCGGTATTGATGCCCGCGTCGGCGAAATTGGAGGTGTCATCCAGGAGACCATGGAGAGCTTCGAGGTTGAGATCGATGGAACCACCTACCCCGTCAAGAGTATCCGCAACCTCACAGGCCACAACATTCTGCCCTACAGCATCCACGGAACCAAGGCCGTGCCCATCGTCAAGAGTAACGATCAGACCAAGATGGAGGAAGGCGATGTCTTTGCCATCGAGACCTTTGGAAGCACTGGTAACGGATACGTCCGCGACGATATGGAGACGTCGCACTATGCTAAGCGAGGAGACTCGCAGCACGTTGATCTCCGCTTGAGCTCGGCCAAGTCGCTGCTCAGCGTGATCAACAAGAACTTTGGCACTCTGCCGTTCTGCCGTCGTTACCTGGACCGTCTTGGCCAGGACAAGTATCTACTTGGAGTATGTATTGATGCCGATAAGAAAAAGAACTATTGCTGACAGTTTACAGCTCAACAATCTGGTCAACGCTGGTATCGTCGAAGCGTACCCGCCCTTGTGTGACAAGAAGGGCTCGTACACTGCTCAATTTGAGCATGTAAGTGATTCATTGACGTGCAGGTGGTGATAGTGACTAACAGATCTTAGACCATTCTGATTCGACCCACCGTGAAGGAGGTCATCAGCCGTGGAGATGACTACTAGACGGATCTTCTACGAGGTATGTCATGGAGCGGATTGTGAGATGGACTCTGAAATATGACTCTCTTCTTTCGACGCGAACAAGTTTGACTATGTAAATAAACACAAAATATGATTTACGTTAGAATGTATGGCATAGCCAACGATGTATAAGACTTGCAGATTGATTCATGGCATAACGGTGAAGCATTACGGCCTGAATATGCAGCAGAATCATTACGTATGCAAGAACCTGGCAGGTTATGCATTGCTACGTTGATAAATTGCATACCTAGCTATGACACCTAATGCAATCAACTGCCCATTCTGACAGCTATCGATCTATGTATCTAATCTTGGAATACGTACCATAGAAAATGACTGATGCTATCTTGAGTTTCTGTATCGATTCTTGTACATTCCAAGGACCAAGACCCTTGAAATTTGATCTACTCACCCGCGTTAATCCCTTCCCCATATCGAGCCTCACAGTGACAAGTTGACCAATGCGTGACGTTTGATCACCAACGCTTAGCTTCATCGTTCTCCGGTTTTTCCCCATCATTGACGCACTCGCCACTCTGTGGCACAGTCGCTCTTCCAGCAATGCACGAGACCAGAAATCGAGCTCCGACCTCCTCCTGCAGACCGAGCCAATTATAGCCTCTCAATATCCCGAGGCTTTATCGCGATCGAGAGGCTTTGCCGTGTAGAGTTAGTCATGTGTCATATTGGGCTTAGTGGCTGAACGCGGATGTGCTCGGGCCCAGAGCCGATGGCCGGCGATAGCGAGTACCCTCCTTCACATGGGATAATTTTTTCTTAGAGGTGGGAGGAGGAGTCAGGGCGGTGTCCCCAATTAAAAAGGCCGCATCGCCATCCATTGCCATCCATCCCCGTCCAGCGCTCATCTTTACCCTCACTTCCGTCACTCTCCATCGCCACTGGAGCATCTTGTATATCTTCGTTTTCTGCGACTGATATAATAAGAGAGGCGTCTACTTTCTTTTACATCTTTGATTTTTTGACTCTTTCACAAAAACGAGTCTCTGCTTTCTTTGATAAGCTCTTAGCTTCTACACCTGAAGGGGGAAAAAAAAGTTTCTGACTCCCACGCGAGCAACTTCTCTCTTCCGCAACAACACCCGACAAACATCAACGAGTCTTCATCCATCCATCAAAATGAAGGTCTTCAGCAACAAGGTCACATACAACTACTCCTGGGACGAGGTGTCCACAGCAAACTGGACAAAGTACGGCCCCTGGAACAACAAGTCTGAGCATGTCATTGCCGTCGACACCCTCTCCCGCGAAGTCGATCCCGCGACCGGTATTCTTCGCACCGAGCGTCTGATTACCTGCAAGCAAACCGTGCCAGATTGGATCAAGACTATCATTGGTGGCACTGGCGACGAGAGCTTCATGTACGAGGCTAGCTACGTCGACCCCATCAATAAGACCGTTACAATGGTTAGCCAGAACCTGACGTGGAGCAACCTCGTCAACGTCCAGGAGGAGGTCGTTTACAAGCCCCTTGGCGACCACCAAACACAGTTCATCCAGAACGCCAACATCACAGCTCTCTGCGGTGGCTGGCAGCGAATCAAGAACAGCATCGAAGACACCATGGTGTCCCGCTTCCGCGAGAACGCTGTCAAGGGCCGTGAGGGCTTCGAGCGCGTTCTGATGATGAGTCGCAAGGCTTTCGCCGAGGAGAAGGCGCGCCAGATTCTATGAGTTTACCATCACGTATGAATCACGCCTTATCTCCGACCCGCAGTCCCTTATCTCCAAGGGTTGCACACGACACCAATCTCCACTACTCACCGCTACACTATTTAACGACGACACGGCATAAAAGACGGGCGCGCGATACTTAAAAAAGAGGAGTAGATGACACTTGCAGCATTTCACTGGCGTTTAGACGGTTGTTCAAAAGTTATACATAAAAAGAGGATTTTGCTCATTTCGGCATGATACATATGCCCTGCGTTTTGGAGTTGTTCGGACTATACCCCCGGTCTATTAGACAGTCGAGAGCTTATGGACCCCGAGGACTTGCCTCGGGTTCATCGCCTAGAACGGGCTTCTTGATAGAGTCACTGATTAGAATACTTAATCATGAAACCTATTACTATAATTGGTTTTCCAACCCAAGTGATGTCTGATTACATAGCTACTATCTGGTATCCTTGGTACTTGAATCTAGAATAGCCGATTCGGTTCAACATATGTAATCACCCACACTTGATCGCTTCTCAACGGCCTTTGCCCGGCATTCGCTATTTCTAGTGCCGAATGGCTCACACCTTTGACTCTCCGTTCCCATCCGGCCGAGCAATGGTGGTTCGTGACCCTACCTTCCCCGCAGCAGCCGGTTTGGGAATTTGAGGGGGTGGGTGACTAGGGAAGTCTAAAGATGGGATTGTCGGAAGTCGATGCTTTGTTCTATGATCAGAATGGACTTGGATGAAACTCTGTTTTTTGAATTGTTGTGTGGCTTGCAGAATTAAGACGGAATTTGGTGTTGGTCCGACCTATGGGAAAGTAAATTATGAAAAGTTCCTGAGTGTCATGTAGTTCAGGTTACAAATCTTTTGAGGCTTGGTGTTGTACAAAATATAAGCCCTGTTGCCTTAGGCCCCTAGTGTAGGGACCTTACATTTTGTAGGGCTTTTGGCACAGTGGTTTTGTTTAACACTTGGGATTTCTTGGAACAGGTCAATGAGATATCAAACCGGACTACTTAGCTCTCGGATCTCAAGTCAATACCTAGTGGCAGCTTGTGTGCTTGACAAACCCATAGCAACCTTTGTCACCATTGAACCTCTGAGTTGTGTCAAGTCCTTATGGTTCAAAAGTATTACCTGAAAGAGAATATCGCGCTCTAGTGGCCTCCTTTGTCATGATATCAGAGGCGTTAAGGGATTGCGCCAGATGAGGATGATGAACTTTTACAAGATAAGCAGCCAGCCCATTCATTTTGGGAATATAATATGAAACCAACGAGAGGTTCGCTAGCCAGTATTTTCATTTATATGATATAGCAACTATACAATTTGCAATGGTCTGCCCCAATCCCAGACCTATACTCTGTTCTTTGCCATGCGCTATCAAATCCTCGCGGAAAGACCTTGTTGAACTTCCAATGCCAATCCTTTGTCAAGAAACGGAGCACTCTTCGGCGATGTGTAATACAAACGAGACACCAATTGTAAGGAGTCATGAAAGAGTGGTCCTTAGTTGTAGTGGCCAAACATAGGAACATCAGAATCTTCAGAATCCTCAGACTCATCATCGCTGTCATATTCGCTCTCACCATCGCTGCCCATCCCGACCTGTCCTCCACGAGTATCTCCAAGAATGGCCTCAAGCTGCTGTCGCAGTTCTGCATTCTGCTTGCGGATCTCGTTCCTACGGCGTCGGAGCATGTCTTCACAGTACACAGCAAGAATATTGTCCGAAGATCCAGGCTGTCGAGGTTCCCAGTTGGCAGCTGCTCGGGCGGCAATATGCAACAGCTGACGGGCCTGATGGCGGTGAATCTCTTCTGTATCCCCATGATAAATCTCATACTCCTTGTCATCTGAGATTCTATCAAGACTCTCATGGAAGGTTTCGACAGTCTCGGCGCAGAGTTCCAGGGCAGACTCCTTTGTCATGCCTAGGCACGTAGAGCTGGAGAATTTGAGCTTAGAGTTTTCAGTCACTTCTTGCCAAACAGCGGACAGGACCTCACGTTCCTTGTCGGCACGTTCGACTCGGTCGCGGTGATCTTGAGTAAGGACGTCGGTGACGTAAGCACCGTTCTTGAACTGGTTGTGATTCGCAATCTTGAAGTCCTCGGCATACTAAGCGGCGAGAGCATTGTTGAGCTGATTGCGAAGAAGACGCACATGAATACGGTACAGAACAGTGTCGCGGAGGGTACCAGACCAAGTGCCCTGAGAGAAAACAAGAGGGATGTCGCCAGGGATCTCAGGGCGAGAGTTGTAGACCAGGTTGAGGTCCCACATACGACGGATGACGCGGAGAGAAGTCTCGCCGTACTTGATGACGATGGTCTTGGAGAGGCCGTACATCTCATTGTTGTCTTGCTTCTGATACTGCGCGATCTCTTCACAGAGAGGAGCGATGACGTCCTTGAGGGATCGGTTGTCGAGCTCGTGAGCGTAGCGGAGCTGGTTGTAGAGATGAGTGTTTCGGATGATGGCGTGAGGGACGGTCAGAGCGAAAGGGGCTGGATATGACTCGGATCTGCGCGAGTAGGCCTCGACGTTGAGAGCCTCGTACCAGGGGACGGTGACAAGCTTGGAGGGGAGCTCGGGGGGAGACATGGCTGAGGCTTGTTGACTGTTGATGGTGTCGTTCTGAGTGAGAATTTGTTGCTAGCCAGTGACAGGATCTGGCTGAGATATGTATCTGGAATTGATGATGGGAGGCAGAGGAAGAATGGTGTGAGTATAAGTGCGAGAGGATGAGAAACCGGAGCAGCAGAGTGAAGGCCAAGCACTGCAGACGGACAATAGCGGTATTGTCAACTTCGGACCGTATCGTCGTGGTTACGGCATAATATTGTTGATTGTTGGTCAGATGACGTTTGGCGAGAGTGAAACAGGAGTGTGGAAACAATAGGAGACGAAAATTACCAACAATAGAATAACTACGCATGCATAAAAGGGTATCATTGACATTTATCTGAATAACTAAACTGATCGTCCCGTGAATATCGCCCTGTTTGTTTATATGCTCTGGAGCCTGGCTTTGGCCATCGAGGTCAGCCAGAATGGACAGATTCCTTTGTTTCAACTGAACCTCGGGCATAAATCCTGCCTGAGTCCATTCCCGTCGTCTCAATGAGTACTGTAGAGTCGGGAGCGAGCTGTGTATTTTCCCGACTTGAGATATGACCCATTCCTTCGGGTCTTGTGTTTCATCAACCTCGTTGCCTCCTCTGCTGATTTGCACACCGGCCCAATCTTATGCCCTGTGGCGATATTCTCATGACGCTGGGGGATGGGGATTATTTCCCACCGTCTTGTACATATCCCTCAACTCAAATTCATCATAACCTCCCTCAGGGATCTCCCCGATAACCTGAGCCGGCTGTCCCGCAACGATAGAAAAGCTCGGAATGACCATACTTGGCGGCACAACCGTCCCATCCAACACCTTGACGTAGTCCTTTAAAATAGCAAATTCTCCAATCGTACACCCCTTTCCAATCTGTACGTGGTTTCCCACAGCTGCAGCTTGCACTACTGTCCCTTGGCCAACAAAGACGTGGTCTCCTATGCGTAGGGGCATGTATGTAAAAGCGCCCTTGTATATGCGGCCCGGTGGACGCAGCAGGACACCTCGAGCCAGGAAGCAGTATCGGCCGATGGCGACGGCTGTGTTGTTGGCTGGCGAGCTGCCAGAGGATGACGATGTGGCTGTTCGAGCGAGATCACCGCGGATCATGACTTCAGGTTGAATGACGGTCTTGCCGCCGAGCATGATGTTTTGAGTACCGACGAGGACAGCTTTACGTGCGACCTTGTTACCTGTGTCCTATAGCAAGCAATGTTAGCATCGAGTGATACATAGCGCTTAAGGAGCTCACGGTCTCGATGTACTCGCCCTTGGGAGCTCGGCGAGACATGATGGGCGGTGCTTGGAGCCGGTGGAGGGCCGGAGCGGAGGCGGAGACAGAGACGGAGATGGAAGAGAGAATAGGTTGTTTTGGCGACCGGTCGCTAGGCCGAGGTCATGGACAAGTGGGGCCGCATTCACAGTACCTTAGGTATGTACGCCAGGCGACGGGAGGAGGGGGGGGCCTCAATTAGATGCAGTCAGTAAAGCCAAGGCACGGCAAAGGCAAGACAACGTGTAAGAGGTAAATAGATGCTGCAATTATCGAATCATATGATATGCTGTGTAACAGAATCTAATTTGCTGCTGAATGGAGGAGCAAAGAGATAACCAGAGGAGAAAACTACAGTACAGTTGGTAATGAGCTGGCAAAAATACAATCTTACCAACATGATGCTATTTCAGAACAAAGAAAGCCTTGCTGAGCCTTGAAAGACGTTGGAGCCAACGTTGAATACCTACATACCTTGCTTGGCCTTTTCAAGCGCCGTCATGACCAACAGCAAATAGACCCAACAAGCGATGCATTTGACAACCAACACCTAGACAAGCATCATCTCCATATTTTACTACCTGCATACAACAAACATCTCGAGTGTGTCACAAGATTGCTATAATTCCCACACTTGGTCCGATTGAGTCTTGTCCTACACCAACCTCTCTCAACTCAACTCAACTCCTCGAATTAGATAGCCAATGATACTCTGACCATAAGCTAACCGTAAGCTAAGGAACTGACTCAACTGAGAAATCCTTTGGGCTAAACGCAAACAGTATTAGTTTGTATACGATTAAAGAACACGGAACTCCAACCTCCCGCTAAAAAAGTGCAGTTCTTCCCGTGCCGCAAGCCTACCTAGGTAGAGAAGGGTGCGGCCGAATGAACCACTTATAGCTCTCGGAGCGGTTGTGAGCGGTTAATTTCCCCAATTCTTGTCTATTCTCGTCTCTGCTTCTGTATTCTCGATTAATTATTGCACTTCTCGAAATATTGGATTTTAATTTGAATTATTTAATAATTTAATACGCACTCATGTGAGGAGAATGCAGTGGAAATGAGATATAAAGTGACTCGGTCGTTTCGTGCAGTAGCGTACACTAGAACACAGCTGAAACTGCCAGGGCCCGATGTTTGAGATAGATGAGATGGCTTTTTACTCTCTGTCTGTTTTCTCTCTCTCTCTCACTCATTTTTTTACTTTTTGTCCACGTTTCTCATCTTCAGGTGAGACTCTTGGAAACTATTAGATTCCTCCGTATCCGTATCCCCTACAGTACATTACTCGTTGCCCCCATCCACATCTGTACATGCTCTAATACCACATTCTAGATGCAGGTGGTTGACCCCCGGGGACCTGAACCCGGACCTTGCTTATAATATTGGATAGCTGTGTTTGTTCTCCTACGATTCTTGCATCCTTGCCCTTTCCCGCTTATAACATATAGTGTCCTTGTCTTAGTAGTAGTATAAACATAGACAACGACTTGCCGTCTTGGCCCGCGGGGCGCAGGGCGGAAGATGCTCTGTCCGATCTGAGCCAAGGATTACAAGAGTTGATACCTGAGAGGTTACAAGTTCAGACGACGGTGGGCGATTCTGCGTTTCATCGACGGCGACTGGTTGATCCTCTGGTCGTTGATGAGAGGTAGTAGTATAGGATGAAGACAAAACGAACCAAACCAAACCGTAAACATCAAACACTCTGTTAATTAACCACTTTAGCCATTTCCCTATTCATTCCTCCTCTGACATTTCAGGCTCTCAACTGAGACGAACGAGACTCTTGCTGACGGCAACACCAAGCCGAATACAACTATGATCCCTGCTTACACCTCCAGAAAACGACGCTTCCGCCCGCGCTAGGGTCGCCTCTCAACGCGGCCGCCCTTCCATTTAGATCATTTCCCTTCCCTTGCTACCTTGCCCCAAGCGAACAGCGTTGCATTGCACTAACTAGATGGCTTTTTTGATCCCTACACCCTCCTCTCCTCCACTCTCTCTCGCCTCCGCCCGCGTTTCGAGGCCTAGTCCATGGATTGTTTGCCTGCATCGCTTTCCTCTGAGTTTTTGGCGAGGCAAGAAACAGAAACGAAGGAGAAACTATCTTGTTCTGTTCCGTTTGTTGGGGTTTCGTGTCTATCTCAAACTCTGCCTAGATAGGGCGCAGTAGAATTTGACTGTTTTGTATATAAAGTCTATCACGACCTCGTCTCTTGAACCACAATCAACAACTCACTCGCTTCTCTCTAGTCGCCTTCTATTCTTGTTTTCTATTATTACAAGTCTTGTCTGGTTCTGGTAACCACTGCATTTCTTATCCCCGCTTCTTTTCTTCTGCACTCACCACACCAACTCTCAATATAAGCGCCCAGGTGGAAACGCCCCATCCACTTAGACCCCTTGCTCGTTGCGTTTATTATTAGCATTGCCGCCCTTGTACTCGTTGTTGCCGCCGATTGTATACAAGACTGCCCTCTGCTCTCCCTCTATCACCCTTTCTACTCTCATATCACTGCTTCTTTAGTCGTTGTTGGTGCTTTAATTCCCATTACTCACTCACGATCGACACCATCTTTTACCTCCTTAAACGCATTGTCATAGTCCGGTGTCTCAGAAAGTTGCTTTCGGTCTCCTACATACATCAATCATCATTAACCATGCTTGCCAACTCCCTTCTCGTCCTTGCCTCTGCCACTTTGGCTCTGGCTTCTCCGCTTGCTACCTTTGGAGCTGGTTCTAGCTGCAAGCCTGGAAAGCCTGTTCCTGTCCTCCCAGTCAACGGTGGTGGTAAGTCTTAGCTCAACCGACTGACTTATATATCCCCAGTTTCACTGACATTACTTAAAGCTTCTGAACTCCCTGCTCCTCCTCAAGGCGTGGCTCTCAAGCACATTGCTTTTGGCTTCGGTATTCAGAACTACACTTGCGCTGATGCCGCTGCCACTCCTGCTGCCATCGGTGCTCTGGCTGTTCTCTACGACATCACTCATCTCTACCCTGGCCAAAGTCCTTCATCTCTGACTCCCGACAAATGGGCCTCTTTCACTGGTGATGTTCTCAGCACCGGAAAGGTCCCTCTCAACCTCAACACCAACGGCGTCGGAGCTTCTACCACCAACCCTTTCCCCAAGAAGCAGGATCTCAAGGTCCAAGGCGTCCAGAAGAAGCTCCCCTACCTCGGACATCACTTCTTCAACGCTGCTGGAGTTCCTACCTTTGACCTCGACAAGGCCAACCAGCTCCTCGTCTGCAAGAAACTCGACGGTATCAAGGCTCCTTCTACTGCCTCCGCTGGCCCTGATGGTACCGGTGCTGTTGACTGGCTCTACCTCGGCGATGCCGGTGGTAGCATTGGCGTCTCCTACGTCTACCGCGTCATGACTGCTGGAGGTGCATCTCACGGCTGCAAGGCCAAGGGCACCGACAGCACCTCTTACAGCACCCTCTACTGGTTCTACGGTTAAACCATAACCAGTCACGACTTTTCATCTTTCACTTCTTAATCATATATTTTCTTAGTCAGATAGAACGGCGGTTCATCGGAGTTTATAAAAGGTCACAATCGCTTTACATAGGATACTCATACGTTTCACGACGATCGTTTACTGGTACAAAATCTCGGGTTTTGGGAACAGATACCATGGTTTATTACGGGTGTGAATGCATCATTACCCCAGAGGACATTTAGGGAACAACATTTGGCGTTTTGCTTTTGATACGAAGGAATTGAAGGGCGTATTGGTTAGTCAAGATGGGGTGGAATGAAGCAAGGTTAGTAGGTAGTTAGCCATTGTCAAATGGAAATACATTGCATCAAGTCCTTTAGGCAAATCTTGAATTCTCACAAAACCGTGAATGATATGGCATACCAATGTGAGCAACTGAGATGTACAAAGGCGCTTCAAGTATATCAACTAACTCCCATCGCAAAGAACGCTAGACAATCCATCGTAGAAGGCAAGATGGTACAAAACACGCCACTCAAGCATCCTCCTTGCCGACAACCTGCTTCTCATGTTCCAGGCTTTCTCTCTCGCAAGCAATGACCACGTTGGTCATGTACTTATGACACTTGTAAGTCAAAGCCGTGCACCAGATGATCATGGCGATGCTAACAGCAATCATGGCCCACATGCCTCGCTGGTGAAATGTCAGTGCTCTGTCGACGCTATTCAGCATTGGATGATATAAACTTACAATGAACCAAGGAGCCATTGAGGCACCATAGAAGACGATGCTCCACCAAGCATTGATGGTATTGCTGCCCGTGTTCATACCGGCCAAGACGATACCACGGAACATAGCTGATTCGTGACGCATGACATCGTTGCACCAAGCGAAGAAGGTAGCCTGGCACGCGTAGACAGAACCGGCCCAGTAGTAAGCCGCGAATACAACCGTGGTAGAATGTGGGTTTGTAGGATCCTTGGAAGCAACCAAAACCATGATAGCTGTGGCGATTCCAGTGAGGCCAATGAAGTATCCAACAAGATATCGCTTTCCAGACAGAAAGTCGGTCAATGTTGCCCAAAACAGCGTAGATACGATACCAACGGCTGGCACGCCGCTGGGATAGTTGTTCTTCTGGGCGACAGTGTATGTTTCGGTCGGATGGTTTTGGAGGAAGAGAGCGAAGAGGGCGTTGGTGCTGAAGGACTCGGTCTCACCGGCGATGATCCAGAGAATAACGAATCCCCACCAAAACCACGATGTAAGAACCATCTTTCCATAGCCAAAAGTGAGTTTAGGTCGCTCTTCAGCGGGGGGAACACGGGATATGGCGAGGGCTCGTTCCTCTTCGGAGAGGTAAAAGGCGGTGGTCGTATGCGGTGTGTCAGGGAACAGAAAGAAGCCGTAGAGAGCAACAGGGATGGTGATGAGGCCATCAATAATGAAGAGCCATCGCCAACCGGTCAAGCCATTTCGACCATCCATACTTGAGTGAATACCCGTCTGGATGAACCCTCCAATCATAGTTCCCGCCAGGCCAGAAGCCGTAAAAATACCAC